AATGGCCTGAGTCATTGCCTAGATTGCCGAGTAACTCAGGATCTTATTGGACTTAAGTCCCTCTTCTATCATAACTCCCATTTTCACTACTTCATTGAAGGATTTGCCAACTGACGTCACCAAGTGACCAAAGTACGTTGGCTCTAGAGTTTGCAGAAAATAGTCCACCATTTCGTTTTCCCTCATTGGAGGATCAACTCTGGCTGCCTGTTCTCTCCATCAGAACCCAAATTCCAGGAAGCTCTCCCTGGGCTTCTTCTCAAACTTTAGCAATGTGAGACGGTCAGGGACTATCTCAAGGTTGTACTGGAAGTGACCTGCGAAATCCTGTGCTAGATCGTCCCAGGTGTACCACCTGCTCGGATCTTGTCTTGTATATCATTCCAGTGCTGACCCACTTAGGCTTTCGCCAAAGTAAGCTATCAGCAGCTCGTCTTTGCCACCAGCTCCTCTCATCTTGCTACAAAAACCCCGTAGATGTGCCACAGGATCGCCATGCCCTTCGTATAAATCAAACCTGGGCATCTTGGACCCTGCCGGCAATTGGACGTTAGGGAAAGGGCATAGATCCTTGTAGGCCACGCTGACCTGGTGGCCTAACCCGTGTATGTTCCTGAAGGATTGCTCTAGGCTTTTGACCTTTCGAATCACCTCCTTATGTTCTGTGTTCTTAACTGGTTTCTCAGCTTCCTCTGGGATCCCAAATTGGGGTGTATATGTGTATGGCTCAGGAGCTTTAAAAGTGGGTTCAGGAGGAAAATATTGGGTGTCATGAACTTGGAACAGTGGTTCACTAGACGATCTTTGTAATGTGGCTGGGAGAGGTTCCACAAAGACAGGAACATTTGGTGGTGGAGGGTTCTGATTGGGTGGCGGAGCTTGGGGGTCATAGGAATCTCTCCCCTGATAGTAGTGGTAGCTTGGGAAGCTTGTTGAAGGGTCAGGGGAAGGGTATTCCGGCGTGTGTCCTGGTGGGGGAGTAGGAGTGACGAGTGGTTCGGGCCCCTTTTGCACCTTAGCCATGGCTAGCTGCATTTCATTCATTTCCAATCTCATTTTTTCTATATTGGCCATCGCCTCCTTCAACATCTGATGTGCCGTCCTTTCCGACTCAACACTATTTTCTGAGCCAGTCATGTTTTCTGGTATATGCCCTTTTGATCTTGTTTTATAATGGTATGGTGCCAGTACGCTTTAACAACTAACTGTTTGGAATTGGACAAACAACAAACTTGTTAGCGTTAGAGTTTTAACAGATATTGCAATTGCATGTTGGTGGATGCAATGTTCTTAGGCAGTTAACCATTTCTAACATGTTTTTGCTCCTACCGCATGCATCCTCCCGGCTTATTTTATTTGTGCATTTTTCAAGTGTTTCGGAAACACTCCATTCCCTCTTTTTTTCTTTTTTCTTTCTCTCTCTCTCTCTCTCTCTCTCTCTCTCTCTCTCTCTCTTTCTTTTCTTTTATTCACTTTCTTTTTTTTCTTTTTTAGCGATGGTCGAACCTTATGTAGATTGCCTACGTATCATGTCCCCGCATAAATTAGACATTGCGTAGTTCGGACCAATAAAAGATAAATAATAATAGAATATTTTTTGGAATTTTCAATTTTCATAATAAAACAAACTTGATTACAAAAGTTTAAAAACTGATCATACTAACAGACTTTGACAAAAGACAACAAACGGTCTCGAAAATCAAATAACCTGCATACTCTAATCAAAGAATTACAAATTCAAAAACAAACAGCCAGATTCCTTCCCCTATATGCCAATTTTAACCAAATGGTTGTTTTTCAGACATGGTCCCTTCTCAATTTCACATGAATTTTAAGGCCGGGAAGGATTATTTTACGACCTTTCAAAAACTTGTTCGTTCTTTTACGAAAATATCTCTTCGACAACTGAAAGATAATCTAAGGCTATCTCGGAAAGAACGGTTTTAAGACATCACTGAAGCCTGGCCGGCTTATTTTAACTAAAAACCAAACGGTATTCACTTGACCATTGACTATTTTCTTGTTTTTCAAATAATAAAAGACCTGGTTTTGCAAACACGACCTGTCAGCACTTCATAGACGAAGATTTTAAGGTTGTGCTGGATAACTGGTCACAACCCAAAAGAATGACCAAAGATGGTCGTTTATGCAAAGTCAGCCTTCCAGCGTCCCTTTCGAGAATATTCGGCTATTTTTGACAAAACGGCGTGACCCAACTTTTTTGACTCTTTTCTTGTTTTTTTTCAAATTAGAATAAAAGACCCGGTATTGCAAACACGGCCTTTCAGCGCCTCAAGGACGAAAATTTTAAGGCTGTGAGGGTCAAGAATCAAAACATAACCAAAGGTGGCTGTTTATGCAAAAATCAGCCTTCCGGTGTCCCGTTTGGGAACATTTGGCTAATTTTGACAAAACGGCGTGACCCAACTTATTTATGACTCTCTTCTTGTTTTTTTTTCAAATTAGAATAAAAGACCCGGTATTGCAAACACGACCTTTCAGCGCCTCGGGGACGAAGAATTTAAGGCTGTGTGGATAACCGGTCAAAATTCTAAAAGAATGACCAAATGTGGACGTTTATGCAAAGTCAGCCTTCCGGCGTCCCTTTTGGGGACACTTGGCTATATTTGACATGAGCGGCATTACCCGACTTATTTATGACAAAAATTCGACATTTTTTTGGCTATTTTTGCAAAGGAGAGGTTGGACATCACCCGACTTATTTATGACAAAAAAATTAAAATTTTGACATGTTTTTTGGCTATTTTAGCAAAAGGGGAGGTTGGACCCGATGAGGGTTGCCTACATATCTCATATCCTGTGAGAATCAAACCGGTGTAGTTCACCAAATAAACTAACTAATTTTTGAAAACAAACATATTTCTTTCATAGCAAAAGAAACTATTTTTCCTTTCCGTTTTTTTTAAAAAAAAAAAACAAAGCAAACTAAAATAAAGAACTCTTTCCTACACACTTTCTGTTTTTTGGGTAAACAAACAACTTTTAAAAATAAAATATTTTTTTTTTCAAAATTTCAGCAGAGTTCCAACAGTACTTGGACACTGGTTTTTTTCTCTAAATTAATCATCTAACTCTCGCCTTGCTATTTTCTCTTTTTCTCAATTTTTTTTTTCAAAAATTTTCTAACATTTCCTTAGATTCAGAAGCCGGTCAACATGCGGGTTCGAAACAAATAAATGCACAGAGCGTAAGTAGGATGCATCAGGATGGTCTTTTCTGTTTCAGGTTGCTATTCCTAGACGGACCCAACCCCTGTGTTGAGTCCCCTAAGTCAAAAAATGCACATGATGCAGATAAGCGTTCCTACTAGGGATCTGGCATGAAGTTGAGTTATTCTAGGTTCAGAACCTGGGTGTTTGTTTTAGACCTGGCTTACCCAAGCGGACAGCTCGAGCCGAGGGGGGGCAGCGTGCCGGGGATACAGAAGCTCAACCCGGCTTTGCAACTTATCCGAACCTCGTTCTAAAAATGGGATTGACTCTAAACAGAAAAGAAGTCACATGAAGTGCACCCTTCTTCATGATTTAAAAGACTTAGAGAGGAGATGGGTTTCAGCACAGTTTATATACAGTTAACAAAATATCAAAGCGGTAAAAGCATCATTTTGCATATTAAGCACAGATCATATGAGAATATCAGATAATAAAGTCAAAATACAACAATTTATTAAGCTCGAATTTCTAACCCTGAACCGGTGGTTCTGGGTAAAGCGTCCACAGCAGAGTCGCCAGAGCTGTCACACCTCCTTTTTCGCCCGCGCCGCCCAAAAGGGGCGCGGAAGGGAGCTTTTTCCAATTAAAGAACAATCGAAACGGGATTTATTATTTATTTCAGATTCGCCACTTGGGAGATTTATGGTGTCCCAAGTCACCGGTTGAATCCCGAATCGAGGAAAATATTGTCTCTGTTTAACAGTCTGCGCACCAGAAATCCGGATAAGGAATTCTGTTAACCCGGGAGAAGGTGTTAGGCATTCTCGAGTTCCGTGGTTCTAGCACGGTCGCTCAACTGTCATATTCGGCTTGATTATATGATACAATACATGTTGAACATATGTGCGAATTTTAACTTTTAACCGTTTTTATCATAGATCATTTTTATCGAGAATTGCAACATCGTGAAAATATATCTCGAACCACGTCACATCAATGTACCCGTGGTTACCGACATATTTTGACTCTGTTGAGATTTGGATTTGGGTCACATAAATGTGCACCCGAGTTTAAGAAAATAAATTGTTAAAGGCGCGCCTAAAGCGACTAGCGTATCATTATTTTGGGTAAGGCCGTGAAATTTGCTAAACGACCGATCCCGAAGTCTATACAATTATTAACCATTTATTGAGGGCCCCGCAACTTGTGCGTTTTATTTGGCAAGGCTCGTCCCATTTTTTATTTAAGCATATCCTAAATCGACTATGATTTTCTATTTATTTGTCTCTAAGAATAAAGAAAAATCCTAATCAATTAACATTAAAAGTTTGGGCTTCCAGTTCAAGTCCGGTTTATGTATTCCAAAATCATCCTAATACATACTATGAGATATCAAGTGAACTACTGCTTATACATTAAATTAAACACAAAGGAACATGGGAAATTCAAAAATCCATTCCAATAACTCTTTACTTCCTTTCCATAGATTTGAAAGCTTTAGAACAAGTACCTGGAAGTTACAACAATGAAGAAGGAGGAAGTTAGTAGGAGCAACAGCAAAAATACAGCAGTAGAAAGTCCCACACAGTGGCTTCAACACCTCAATCCGGAAATCCCAGCAACACGGAGAAAACCAGTAAAAATGGAGAAGAAAAATATCCCGGAAGTTTCTCTTTGTTTTTTCTTTCTAGCTTTGAACTCTCTATGGTGTTCTTCCGCTCTCAATATTTTAGAAAATTTGGTTCTATTTTTTTTACTCTCTCCAAAATGAATTATGTCCATGTATATCCAGTATATCCAGAGTGTATATCGAGTGTATACCGCTCCCTCCGCCCCTTCTTTTTTTCTTCTCTCTATCTAGTTTTTCCTCTTTTTTGAACCTCATTCTTCCTAAATTTTCTTCTATTTATAGCAAAATTTTGGAAATTTTCAGATTTGTTTTTTTTAATTAAAAAAAATCCCACTTACAAATTGCTTTTATTTTTTTAGAAAAAAGAAATCCCACCTTTATTTACTTTTATTTTTAAAATTCCAACTTTAATTACTTTTATCTTATTTAAAATCCCACTGTTTATTTTTTTAAAAGAGAATCTCACTTTATTTAACTTTTCTTTAAAAAAACAAACCACTATCTTTTCTTTTTCTTTTAAAAATGCTACTTTCAATTACTTTAAATTTTTTAAATTTTTAGATACCTTTATATTTATTTTTTAATTCCAACCTTCTTTTACTTTTTAATTTTTTAAAAATTTCCACAAAACTTTTTATTTTTTTAAATTTTCTACATTCTTTTACTTTTTTAAAAAGAGAATTCCACCTATTTTTACTTTTATATTTTTTTTATTCAATACTTCCCTTTTTCTTATTTTTTAAATCATTCCCTAAATTATTATTATTATTATTATTTTAAAAAAAAATATTTTCGGATTTTTTATATAAAAAAACAAAAAATAATAAAAAAAATATTAATAGTGATAATTCACCTTTTAATTTTTTTTTTGGTATTTTTATCCTATAATAAAAAGTGTAATAAAGCTAAAATAATAGTAGGTTAAAACCCCTAAAATATTTACATAAAAGAAGTGATAAAAAATTAAATATTGTCAAAAATTAGGTGTTCACACTATCTGTATGCGATGTCGACGCCCTTTTTTTCTACGGTGGGTCGAAATCGGGTATACGACATTGGAAGGACAACTCTATTCCCTTTCGAGAATTGGGTCTTAGAAGTTGAAGAGTCGTCACCTAATGATTATAGTGCATCAGGACACTTTTAAGAAATGAATTGAGATGAAGAACCAGAGTTTGGGTAAGGGCTAGAAATTATCTCGAGGGGAAGGTGTTAGGCAACCCTCAAGATCCACTAGTGTGGTCCCGGCCATGTTACAATTGTGACTTTACAAGTAAATAATCAAGGCTCAAATAAGGACTTGCATACAACATTGCAATTAGGTTGAAAACTTT